TACTTATACACGGAGACAAGTTTCACCAAAGCCCAACAAATCTTGGCCCATCAATCAAGTCCGTCGCATTCTGCTCGCCCTGCGCCTCAAGGCCGGCCGGGGGCATGAGCCGCTTGTAATTCAATCTGGGCCCGCTCCTGCGCGAACGCATGGTTCTTTCTCACGCGCTCGAACATCCACGGATCCACCTCCTCGGCAACAATATTCCGCGGCAACTCACCCCACACAACTACTAACCCGCTCAGGCCCTACGCCGGATTCTTGATGAGTCGGGCGAACGCTCCCCGGGTGCGTCGCCGTGTGGGACGACCCACACGCGTCGCAACCGAAGAATGGGCGTGCCATCGTCGACTGCGGTGGGCTGAGATCGTTCGGGATAGACACCTGAGACGGGAATGGGGATGCGGCCGCGACCATTGGGCATCTTAAGTACGTGTGCAGTTGCTTGCAGGCGGACACGGGCCGCTAGCCTGAGTGTTGACGTTTACATGGGCGGCTGGTCCCTGGCGCTTTTGTAATGCGGATGCGGTGCTTGGCGTCGCGCTGGGCGAGTGGGAAAGAATCTTATCTTATCGATCCTTCACTGGCACGTGGCAGCCCATGCGTCATGGCTCGGGATAATCACTGGCAGGGATAACAACCCTTGACCGCTCGGTGGTTTGGGGAGTGAAGATTGATTTCGATGAGGCCTCGCCCTCATCGACGCAATTGGTCCATTTTGGAGACTTCATATGTTCGAATCGATTATCCAGAAGCACAGGAGAGACTCTCCGTCAAGATGGATCGAGCCGAAAGGACCCATTTAGAAATACTGATGAATCCGCTGCTTTTTAGACTGATCTAATTGTGCTGCTTGTGTGACTCGCGGTCCTGACCGGGGCGATCAGCATTGATAGGAAGAGCACGGTCTTCACGTCTCGACACGGCCTCAAGAAGACCGAGAGAGAGAAACAGGGCTGTTCAGAATCTACGACTGGGCAGACTTATCTCTGCCCAGTCTCTTCAAATACCCACGACCACGACTGAGAACCTCGCGGCAGAAACACCTCGGTGAGACTGCAAAGCTGTGGACCCGGGTGACTGGCGAGCTGACCGCTTTTGCCGCGAATCCTGTGGTGAGCGCATGCATTTCAATCACACTCCGCGCGACTTGACTCTGATTCTTTGGTTGCTGTCTCTCATAGGACCCGAACCCCGCTTTACTGCCTGGGCTCTCCCAAACGCTTGATCCGACGGCTCCACGGTCTGTCGGACCGATTGTGCTGTCTCCACAGCTCTTGCGGATTTCAGAAATTTCTCTTGGAGCTTCAGTCTCCCATCATCTCCAGTGCAGGCACTGACAATGACTACCCGCCGGTCGACCACACAATCCACGTGATTGTACGCGATCACGTGGCATTCAATCTATAACACGCGAGTTATCATTACTTCTATTTCAGACGCGAGTGGATTTCGAATGTCAATTAGATATTATTCATGAGCTAATTCGGATTATATTTCGTCTTTATCTAGTGTTTCTAGACGTGCCGCAAGTGCAGTCGACGTCGTTCCATCCAGTCCGAAATCACGGCTGATACGGGTAGCCGCCGCTTGTGCCGGGATTCCAATATTGTTGATCCTGCTGCCCTTGCGAAGGCTGCCAGTACGCCGCAGCACTCTGGAATGTCACGGGACTGTACCCTTGGGTCGGCTGCGCATATCCGTAGTTGGGCGCGTAGTCGTATCGAGGCGCGGTGGGGAGACGCTGCTGGACCATTTGCGCGTGGGTGTCATGTCGGAGGTACTCTGCGTACGCGGGATGCTGTGGATGCATGTGAATCCCATATTCGTACCCGGGCGTGCCCGGGCGTGCTGTGCCGGCCGCTCCCGTCCATCGTGCCGTCGAGGCGGAGGGATGATGTGTATCGGTGAGGTACACCCCGCTAGGAATAGGGTCTCCCTGTGGGGGTGCGTGGGTTCGGGCGCTCCACGAGTCCGCAGTCCTCGGCCTTGTCGGGAGGCGCGACGAGGCGACATTTGATCCGCACCTCGGCGCGGGTGGATCGAAGTATATCTTGCTCTTGCCATATGGGACCGTTGGGGAATTGGAGACGTCCTCCCGGACCTCTTTGAACTCGCATTTTATTCCCTTCTTCTTGCACCGTTTACACGGCTCGGCTCGGCACTCGTCCGTCGGGACGCACTGGGCTTGGAGTCAGCTGCGGGAGCAGACAAGCCGGGGCGGTGTCAGGGATGCCTACCTTGTCCTTGCTTTTTCGGCAAGCCTTGCAGGCCACCGGGTTTCGCTCTCGCGGCTCACGCTCGTTTGAAGATGGAGGCATAGATTGGGAATGCAGGAGGGTGAGGCGCGTGCGAGAAATTTGCGGTGGGTTACAGTGGGGACGGAGGGCGTTTCTTTATAATAACAAACCAAGCGTGGGCTGTTCCAAGGCTTGCCCATGCCGATTCGAAGTCTCAGATTGCAGTATCGACGCTGTAGACAGACTCGCCCGGAAGGCGAGGGGACTCCATCCCACAAGCTGTGCATGACTCACACCTTTGCTGTTGAAGCAATCGTCAGCCTCGAAACAACGAGCGTCGCAGGTGCTGCAGGCTTGATGATTGTGGATTCAAATCCGGACTACAGCTTTGAATTGGTATTCTGATGCTCCAAGAACTATGTGTGTGTGATGACTTCCACGATGAGATCTCATCGAAAAAATTGAGAGTTTGAATTTTAGAGGCAGTCGAGTGAGCGCAGTCCACATCGTGTTCCTACCGACCAAGCGAGGAGATGCATGCTCAATCGAATACACAGCCTGTTCGATCCTCCCCGCAAAGAACAACCGTCAGAAAACACAAGGGACCGTAACCATCGCGAGAAGAGTCGCGGCAGCACAAGTCCGTCTTCCGCGCAATAGCATTCGAAGCTGATAGGCATCTTTGCACCCACTCGGTACACGCAGCGGCGGCGCGGGAAGGACAGCCGTAATTCCAGTGCAAATCCCTCGATCATTGGGCTGTTCAAGCCGGCGTGTCGTGGGGCCCAGATCAGATACTTTCAGCCACCGGCACCATAACGCAGCAAATACAATCACAAGCTCACTGAGGACAATTGCTGATTCTTATTGTTGGTGGCTTGCATGGAGGCGTGAACTGCAGTGAGAACTTGACAGGGGGGCTTAAGGGAGAAGCCTTGACTCGGGGCTCCGACCTGCTCTGCCTCCAAGGCTGTAGAGGCCCATTTGTTCTTCCACATCACCGGTCCGCAGCCTGGCTGATGCTTTTGATTCGAAGAATCTAAGCAAGTATAACTGAGGACGGTACCTCCTGAGCATAGTCTTCTCCCGCGCCCTGAGATATCAGATCTGAAACCTCCGTGTCCCGCGGCACAGCCTTGCCCTGCCTACGGCTGAAATGCACACAGAGGTCCCACAAGTCGATCGGAGATGGCAGGGCATCATCGCAGAGTAGGTGGCCCACCTTTCCTATCTAGATGACATGTGAGAGTTGGGAGGTATGGTCGGCTTCACAAGCGTCGGCCATATCGGGCCGACATCGCTGGACTCATCAATCCTCATATATTCACGCATCGCAGCACAGCTGTGTATCGAGCCATTTTCGAGCTTAATATCGACATCTATATCGGATATGGCCACCCACTCGTCATGCAGGCGCCGTATGATGGTATCTTGATATCGATAAAGTTGGTTATTTGGTAAGTAGCCGAGAACCGGTGGCCGAACTGACGTACTACTTCATGTGCAGTCCAGAAAATAAGCATATATCATTGTATGCCGTGAGTACGTGGTTGTCAAATCCACTGGACCGCATCCACCGACGCCGCAAACGACGTCACGGGATCAAAGTTGAACTCCCGGACCGCCCGGGCCGCAAAGTTGAACGTGTCGGCGTTTGCGAGCATCTATACAGTACGACGGGCCGTGGAGGGTCAGATCAGATGGCCCTCTAACAGGCCGAAGCGTACCTTGCGATACGAATCCCACGCCTATCGACATAGCACCGTCAAGCGCAAATCAATCACGCATTGAATGGAACTCACCACCGCCTCGCCGACCGCCAATACGGCTCCACGCATCAACTTGTCGTTGCCCGGCCCGGACGCCCAATCCGTGGTAGAGACCCACTGAGACGAGGAAACAGTCAATCGGATGCTACAAATACGCCAATAGCAAACAGCAGGACTAGGACGGACCGTAGAGTTGCCCGCCAGAAGTGCACGGGGTCCCTCGAGGTCCTGGAACCCAAGGGACTGCGCTGCAACGCCCTGTGCGAGTGCCGTAGCCACTACGGCCTCTGCATCTTCGTCGCCCAAGGGGCAGAGGACAGCGAGAGTTCGCTTCAGGTTGTGCGCCGTGCTGTCCACGCCAGAGTCCCGGTAGACGGTGATCTCCGCGTCGAACGAGCGGAAGGTCCGCCAGAGACCGAACTCGGCCTCACTCTCGTCGAGGATGCGTAGGATCTCTGGGTCCGTGCGCCACTAGAAATGCACACCAGATACTTAGATTTGAAACTTGTGAATGTTTGGGACAGTAACTTACAGCGTTAATTTTAGCTGTTGTCTAAGTCGCATGGAATGATCCGCGTCAACCAAGGAAGGAGCAAACGTGCGTAACGTACAGAATATTTCATCAACGCCAGCACGACTTTGCGCTGCGGCAGACCCAAATTACGCAGCTCCACGTCAAGCTCGTCGTTCGGAACCACCTGTAACCTGTCCCGTGAATTCTTGTATACCCAGTGGCAAAGCGCCACTCGCCGTCTCGTAGCTCGTGAACGTCTCCCGAAATAGCGGGTGCCGAGTCAGCCTCTCGGCCATCGCCATCCAGCGCGCAACAAACTCGTCGCGTGGGACATCAGGGGGGATCTCGTGGATGACCACGGTGCCTGCGGGACGCGCAGCTGGAGCGGTCATGTTGGGTCTGTGTGTAGGAGGTAAAGCTTGTCCTGAGGCGGAGATAGACTCATATAAGACATGGGGAGGGAAGCATCTCGGTAGCTATAACGTAGGATCTGAAGTCTACTGAACGTCAAGCCATGCGATTTGAGGTTCGACTCGGGACATGTGATGGTTTTCTTGCAAGAAAGGACGGCACCGGTGACGACCTCATCACGGATTCACAAGAAATTCGAGAAACGGAGCAACTATTTGTACAGCGTTCGGGATATCTATCAATCACACTACTTGACGATCTTGGATACCATGCGCACAGCCGAATAGTAGCTGCCGTCCTGAATCTTGCCACCAGCACCGTCGGATTCCTCCGCGCTCCCGATGAGCTCGTGGATAGTCTGGTTTTAGATATGGTTCGTTCGTTCGTGAGAACGCGGGGCTTGGAGGGCGCAATACGCACATGCATGGCCTCGGTGAACACCGAGTCGTCCTGAGGAATCAAGATCAGCGCTTCGGTCTTCCGATGTAGAACGGAGAAGTTCACCTTGACCTCAGCGACCGAGATCACAACGTTCTCGTCCTCGAGTGTCCTGAGGCCCAGAGCGCGGATCTGCGGCGCGGCCACATGGTGGGGGATCCACTACGAGCACCCCCATCCCTCATCAGTCTCCGCTCATGCCGCGAGTGTGCGAGCGAGAGGTGAAGCGTACCGTTGACACGCCGGCTGCGAACCGACCCTGACCCGACCCGTCCGAGAGTTTGCCGAAGTTGTTGATGATCTCAGCACTGTGGTCGTGCGGCGAGGTACTCGGATGCAACCGCAGGAATCCTACTGCCGCCTTCTTCTCCCCCTCGATGGGGACAGTGGCCGGCGCGGCACCAGTGCGGACGACGTCCGCAATGGAGAAGAAGCTGTTTGACATGAAGCCGAACTCCTTCTCGCCCTTAGCGAAGGATTCTCGCAACACGGGGTCCGTCAAGAGCTGTCGAGTCGCGTCAGTTAGGATGGGCAGGAGGTGAAAGCAACCGGACGCACCTCGACAAAGTGGTCGGCAGTCGGAGAAAGGGCCAGGACCATGACGGAGGTCTTGCGTCCCGGGAGACCGAGCGTGTCAGCCATACCAGCCAGCTCGTCGTTGGGGAAAACCTAGAACCACGCCTTCAGTCAGTATCAAAGACGTGGCTCGACGGAGGATGCGCGTTCACCATCTCGAACTCGGTGAAACATTTCTTGAAGACAGGCAGGTTCTTGACCGCATCTGCGACTCCCATGACGCGCTGCGACAGCTCCTCTTGGGAGAGGTTCAGACCAGGCGCGACTTGGTGGAAGGAGATGACTCCGACGGACTGGGGAGGAGCAGACATCAGTGGTAATGCGTCGAGCACCAGTCCGCCCATACCTCGCACTTATATTGAGCACAGAACGCGCCGGGCAATCTCCACCAACGTCAGTCGAAGAAAGCCTTTGGCCTCCAACAATAGCACTAGCGGTCATGGGGATGCTCATACACCTCCATCTAGCAAAGGCACCAAGGGGCATCAAGGCAGATGCGCCACTTCGTGAGCGAACAGAGACCCGAATTCCAATGCATAAAGCAAGAGCGAGTTACAGGCTCATCAGTGATCGGTGAAGTGGTGGTGAAGCTGAGCTACGTGACATCACGACGTTACGGACAGCAATATCTGTTGGGAGTTTACACTTGCGAGTGCACACGAGCTTTATTGATCCAAGGGTAATATATATTGAGACTGAGACAAGACATCACAAAAGAAAAATGTAGATTAAATATGACTTGGGTATACTGGGACAAAGGGACATAGATTTGGGAGAAACCTAAATAGATAGACACTACTGGCACTGAGCGTTAGGACCAGAGACCGCATCAGTCATTCTTCATTGGGCGTCTGTTTGCAGACCAGAAGCGTTCGAGCGAGTAGGCGATTGAGGCAAATGCGGAGCCGGATCGACCGGCGTCTGCGTCTGGGATTCACTGAGCAGCGGCAAGCCCAGCGCATTCATTGCGAGCTGCGGTGACCCAGTCGGATTCCAGGGGAAGTACGCGTCAGACCCTCCGTCCCCCATCCCCCCACCAATATCCCACTGCTGCGCCTGCGCAGCCAGCAGGACCTGAATCTGGACGTCCCTTTGTTCTTGGTCCTGCGCGATATCGAGTTTGAGTTGAGAGCCTTCAGCGCTGGCTAGGTAGGATTGGATAAGCGGGTGGGAAACTACAGCGTCCAGATCGACAGGACGCGCAAAGCTCGTTTTGACAGAACCGAGGGTGGTGCGAGCCTGCTGCTCGTTGAGGTTGTTCTCTGGTCCGAGATGCCGACGAGCAACGAGGAACTTGATCAGCAGGGGCGTGAGCTGGACGACAGTCTTTGCGCGGAGACTGATGCTTTCGAGCTCTGGGAGGATCGTCGGTGAAGTGGCGAGCGCCGACAGGGCAGCTCCAGGAACGGTCGTGGGTGCCGATAATGCACGCCTGGAGACTGGATGCGCGAACGGGTTGTGCAGGTTCATCAACACTCCAGCGCCAGTGTCCTCCAGGCTTAGATGCTTCACTGACGTAGGAAGCGCAGCCAGTGCTTGCTCGACACTAGCGGCGCGCATGCAATCGCTGGTGATGTGGATTGACTCGAGTTGCGGAAGGCGTCCAAGGAGACCGAGGAAAGCATCAGGGAGCCGACGGAGTGAGCGAGGCTGGCGTCCCCAGTGTCTGATCTCAAGACAGCGCAGATTCGGCGCTTCGATCGACGAGAGAAACGCCATGGGTTGTCGGGACGTACTCCGGCGACGTCGTACGTGGAGTTCGAGCGTGTGCAGATTGGCAAGGACGACGGAAGGGAGGTGCCCCTGGATGGCACTGTCATCAACTGTGAAGCGAGCCGTCTGGAGTTGAGGCTGGGCAAGGAGGACGGCGAGTAGGTCATCAGCCGAAACAGATGCTACTTCCGAATCTCCACCCGCAGTAATGACAGTCAGGGAATGCAACTTCGATGAAGCAAACGGCAGATCCTGAACGCGAAGCATGTCAGTATCAATGGCCACATGCGAGACACGCGGCGCACCGAGGATCTGCAGTTTCGCCCAAAGCTGATGTGTCCCAGCCTCCACCGGCGGCATTGGGACAGCCGTCTGAGCTTGGAGAAGAGCCGCCGCAGACAGATCGTTAACCCAAAGGCTGTCGACCGTAGTAACCTTCACCCGCTCGAGCTTCGGAACGTCTCCCACTTGGATTTCCGCCAACCGTGCCAGCTCGTCCCGGTTGACCTTGAAATCGACGTCAGCCCAGCGACGGGCAAGCGACATGAGCGGTTCGATATGCGCGGACCCGTGCGGCGACCCATCGGCGTCGTCGAACGTTTTGAAGCTGAGCGAAAGTGGCACCTCGCCCGAGCGGCCTAGCCACGTGCGTATCACGTCCGCACGGACAGCCCACTTCCTGCGATACACCTCCCACCTTCCCCGAGTTCCAAGCGGGCCGGGAGTGCGGGGCGCATCGACGTGGAGCTTCGACCAGAGCCGGGGGGTGGAGTACGCGATTGACCGCCATGCGCTGCAAACACGACCCAACAAAAGCGGTGCTTCACTGGCCCGCATGGCGCAGTTGCGGTCTTCGGGCATACAGGCGAGGAAGATCTCACGGATGACGTCGTCGGGCATGCGCACAACGGGTGGGAGTGAGGCTTCGTGGCCGAGGAGATAAGCCGTCCCTTTTGCCTCTTCGGACGTGGTTTGGGCTATGGGGTGAGAAATGGAAGTCATCCCGTTGCGAGACTGGGCGATGAGGGACTGAGGATGCTCCAACTGGCACTCAGAGGGGATGGAGTTGGTGTCTAACCCAGCTGCGAAAGCAGACTGCAACGACTCAAACGTGGAACTCTCAAATTGGGACATAGTGATGGTGGGCAGTAAAAGGACGTTGGGAGGTCGAAAGCTGGAGAGCCTGTGATTTTATCCCCTTTGCGGCTCCGAACGAAGCTTCAAGTCAGTTCGAGTCAAGGTCAGTTCGGCAAATACCGCACCACTGATCGATCTCCACCTGTTCTCTTCCACCCCTGTCTTGAGTGTTCATTTCGTTTCTGAAACATTCCACGAAAGCCCACCTCGTTCGTGGTCCATCAGCTTTGTTCTCGAATGTCCTTACCTAGAGTCGACTCCGTGATCCTAATTTCAACACAACACCGACCATGTCAATAAGAATCTGCTGAAGTCCTTGTTCAATTTGCTGAGTAGTGTGCATTTCTGCAAGTCCTCGGTCAATAGTTGTAATCTCCATTTCTCTTCTCTGCTGGCGATTCAATTTGGGTGCCAGAATGTCACTACAATGGTCAAAACTGCACTTGCGTCTTGCTCGTTGACTCCTACAATTCCCCTCGGGGCACGTGCGCGACGTGTCAGTTGCTCGTGATCCAGCATAGGCGTGACTGTGATGTGTCTGTGACCGGAGCTTTCCTCTGATCCTCCGAGACGCTGCTGTCCGAGTACGACCGCCAGTCGATGAGAACACTGAATACATCCTTCGCATCCACATTCTCGTGCTTCCGCTGCAACAGGTGGCCACATTTCTAGAGTCCTCTCACGGGTGCCCATAAGCATACATCTGTAAAACGGCGTTATCGCGCCACGTCCCGGAATCCAGTGACGACGCCTACACGCCACTTCTACGCTCATTACTGAGCACTGGGACGAACCACTCATTGATATCGCCCTCGGCGTGCTGCTTGAAGTGCATCCGGCTACGTGCAGTCGGGTACACGCTAACCCATGCTTCCACAGTACAGCATCCATCTCCTCGTGTCCTCTTTCCTCGGTTGCACAAGAAGGAAATGCAAGCGGACCGGACCCCGATGTGCGCTTCCCAACCCCTCCCTCTCCCTCTGGTCAACTCGTCGGATGAGACATGCGCTTTCTGGTAACTCCATGCGCTGGCCGAATGTCTGAGCCAGCTGCTGAGCGGTCCATCGCACCTGAGTGTAACTCGGCGGGAAGATCCGCATGTGAACGGTCTTTGCAAGAGTGGGATGAAGGGGACGAGCAGCACGCCCGAGTGAATCCCGATCTGGGTTTCTTGCGCATCTGTCGTCTCCCGCCGTGCTGCATGTGGGGCGAGGACAACCTGCTTTTGCAGTGGCCGCTCACCTGCAACTCGTCCCCATAATCAGGGGCTTCTCGTCATTCGGTTCTCTTAACGCACTGCAGATTGTCGATTGTCGTCGCGCGTCATTGACCCTCGAGACACCTCCGTCCGCTTCTCCTGCCCTCGGTCATCATGATGAAGGGCATGGGCTCGGCTGCATCGCCTTCTTTCGCTTTTTCCCGGATCTCTCAACTTCGATGAGGGTTTGAGCTGGCGCACTCGCTCGACACACAGTTTGTTGACTTTTGCGGGCCGCAATACTCGTTATTAACTCCAACACCCTTGGATCTGCGTCAGGATCCTTTACTCACCGCATGATAAATTATTAGTGCAGATCCCCAGACACTAACCGAGATGTTGAATTGTCTCGCATGTGGTCCGGTGGCGGACAAGGCCTATTTCCGCTTCGAGATTCGCTAATAGCGTTGCGATTCTGGCTTTTCGCTACACTTCGGATATGTTACCAAACCATGTATTTCTGTAACAAACTGTCCGCGATATAACGTATTCCATGGAAAGGAAGGTTGAATACATCTTCGGCTACCAGTCTTCAAGCTCCTGTTTCAAAACTACAAACTTGTACAGTTTCAATTGCGCTGTGATTGGAAGTGAACCGATTTCGAGCTCTGTTTCTGTGGTAGACTGCAACGAGAAATGTCAGGGTCTGTATCGGATGGTCAAGAGGCAGCTGTCGCGGACCTCATCTAGACCTGGAACGATTAGAGATAGAAACTCGATCATCCTCGCCAACTGTCTTGATTCGGGCTTGAACTTGGAAATCCCCTTTGCCAACTCCGTTTTTTCTTCATTAGTCAAGCCCCCATGTATCTCCCCTAGAATCCGCTCAGCCTCCCTCCTGCGCCCGCGCTCATGCTCCATCTCCTGACTCAGAAGATCGTTTGCGCGCTCGATAGATTCCAGCTCCGTCTGATATTGTGTGTAATCCTGCACACGCAGCTGCGCGTTATGCTTCGCTTTCCACTGGGCCGCTACCGTGATCTGTCGCAGCTCCGCGTTGAGCTGTTTCAGGGAGAGGTTCTCGGCGCGGAGAGATTCGAGTTGGAATTGGATGCCGGGGGTATAGGGCTTGAACGACGATTCAGATGCGGATGAGAGGGAAGACGAGGAGTCGGATCCGCTGCTCAATTCGGAAAAATCCACCTCGGATTCGGTTGGGGCATTGCTACACGAGTCAGACAATGTGAACGACGAAGCACCGAGGTCGGGTATCTTTGGATGAATTCTGCTAAAGGTCTGATGTCAGTGCAGCGGATCGGGATTGGGAAGTTATAGTTTACTGCGCAGGCATTTGTTGAGGGAAGAAAGAGGGAGCTTTCAATTAGCCTCACGTGGCTTGGGCATTCCTCATTGACACATCACTCCAGATGCAGGCCCTTCGGATTTACTACCTTCCGCTCGGCACGACAGGCATCGACAATCTACTTTTCTACCACTCGTAGCAGACACCGTAGAATACTCAGTGCTTAGCAAATG